TAGGATACTACTAATCGCAGTCAGCATTATCGCTTGTCAATTACATTTCTGCATCGACGTAATAAATTCTTTCAACGTTTGAGACGAAGCATTTAGCTCTGACAACTCTAAACGATGAGAAAATCTTTGTGATCGGTCGGAAGGGACTTGTTGGAGTATAGGCCAATGGATTGTAGTCGTCAGCCATGCATCCATCCTTGGCGCTCGTCGAATCGGCCTTCTTATCCTTTTCCGTACGTTAAGTTTCGAAAAAGGTCCGTGAAGATATGAAAATCGCACTTCCAGTTTCGCTTTTCGTACGCTAGCAATGAAATTGGATGTTAAGTTTTGTGAAAAGATTGCAGAGTTCAGGGATTTGTTCAAATTGTTTTGAAAACGGAAGTGTAGTTTTGAGAAACGGACGTTACCGATTGGGAAAAACTGTAACTCCCCTCCCCCCGTGTATTTATATAAGAGCTAAGTATCCACGTGCCTTCCTGTAAATATCCCCTGGCAGACACAATTTGGCCCAAGTAGTTACTTGGGAATACGCTGTCTAGGTATCTCCTCAAGCCAACCGTGGCTTGCACTCGGAAATAAAACGCTTAACCTGGTTTGTTCCGATCCCTGGCCAGGAGTCAAGTTCGTTATCAACTGAGCCACTCACCCGCCTATAAAGTGGGATTGAGAGCTGTTTCCAAGCTTGGGGAGAATACAAGAGTTAGAACAGAAATGGGCGAACCCACAGTCTCATTCCTGACGAATTTGAGTTTTGAGTTTCCTTGTACTGTAAAAGCTGCATTTATTGCAATTGTTTTGTGCTTGAAATTTATGACAAGAACTGTGTCTTACGTAAAATGAATCAGAGTCGGCTGCTTGTCGTTTCGCCTTAGCCGCTTACAAGGTGAATACAATAACTTAGGGAAGCAAGAGGAAAACGAGGTTCTTTGAACCTTTGAGGAGTAAGCCGGTACATTTACGGGTTGAAGCTATTCTACCCTCAATATACTTTTTTTTTTTAAAAGGAGGATCTTGCAGGAGCTAAAAAAAAACCCCACTCCTAAAAGGGTTAAGGGGATGCAGTACCCTTTGATTTGGGCCGTGTGAGGAAAAAAAAACGCTCTCGGATTCCTATACCATGCGCATGAACCGTATTTCAAAATCATTCACTCATTGATCTGCTTCTAATGATGATATTTCTAAGTTACGCACCAAGTACTATCTCGTACTTGATCTTAGTATCTTGAAAACGGCAAGATTGATCGCAAAATCCCAAGGTGATTACCATTATTACGGAGATGCAAGTAGCTGTTCATAAATTGGGCGCATTTTGTGGTAGGCGTGCGAAAGTTTGCGGCATGGAGATCCGTTAAAATGTTTTACTTGCACCTCCAAAAAATAGATGGCAGACTTGTCCCAAGCACGCGAATAAGAGGCAACTTGAAGCCTCCACACCACCCACCGCGACCCCTATTGGCCGGTGTCGTGTGATATTTCCCCCCCCCGTAGTATTTTTCCCCACCTCCCTTAATGGAAATGAAGGGAGTTCATTTTAAAAGTAGAATTGTAAGTTTGTCGATTGCCAAAAGAGAACATAATCTTTACTGTCAGAAACTGACCAAACGAAATCATAGCAAAACATCCTCCTGCAGAGGACGAAGTTTCTTACCCCCTGCCTTCATTTGCCTTTTACCTCCTTTGTCTGGAATCTTTGATGTGGCTTTCAAGATCGCCCCGAGGAGTCGACACTGGCTTAGACGTTAGCGAAGCAGATGGAGGCGCAAAAGGAACACTAAAAGGCACGGAAGAAATAGCCGCCGAGGAACGAG